GGTATGGCAGGGAGTTCAGCACTTAACCAACTACAAACCTTGCAATACCACGTTGACTGAGGGTAACGCGGAGCTTGCAGAGGAGCTGAACCACTTCTTCGCACGCTTTGAGGTGAAGGGACCAGAGGCAGCAGCAGCAAAAACATCGGACAGCAGCAGCAGCCCAAGCCTCATAGTGCAGGAATATGAGGTGAGGCGCACACTGAGGGCAGTGAACCCCAGGAAGACCGCCGGACCAGATGGGGTAACAGCAAAGGTCCTAAAAGAGTGTGCAGACCAGCTAGCTGGGGTCTTCACTAAGATCTTCAACTCTTCACTGTCCCAGTCCTGCATCCCGCCGTGCCTAAAGTCAGCCACAATTGTCCCACTGCCAAAGCGTACTAACATTAGCAGCCTCAACGACTACCGACCAGTTGCTCTAACACCTGTTATAATGAAGTGCTTCGAGAAACTGGACCGACGTCACATCATGTCCTGCCTGCCACCCACACTCGACCCGCTCCAGTTTGCATACAGAGCTAACAGATCAACTGAAGATGCCATTGCTACAACGCTCCACACCACCATCTCTCACCTGGAAGTGCAGGGCCGTTACGCCAGGCTGCTCTTTGTTGACTTTAGCTCTGCTTTCAACACAATACTCCCGGACAGACTAATAGTTAAACTGCTGGAAATCAGACTTCCTTCTACCACCTGCCGCTGGATCAGAGACTTCCTCTCAGACCGTGTACAAAGAGTTAGAGTGGGGCCTCATCTTTCCTCAGCCCTCAGCCTCAACACCGGCTCTCCACAAGGCTGTGTACTGAGTCCCCTACTGTACACTCTGTACACACATGACTGTGTTAGTTCCCACCCAGACAACACAGTCATCAAGTCTGCAGATGATACCACCGTGGTGGGGCTCATCTCTGGGGGAGATGAGACGGCGTACAGAGCTGAAGTTCAGAGGCTGTCAGATTGGTGTGTAGATAACAACCTGGACCTTAATACCACCAAGACAAAAGAACTGGTAGTTGACTTCAGAAGGAGGAAGTCCGAGCTGCAGCCTGTCAGCATCAACGGGGAATGCGTGGAAAGGGTCTCCAGTTTCAAGTTTCTGGGAGTGCACATAGACACAGACCTCCAATGGAGCTCAAACACCTCTGCGGTCTTAAAGAAGGCCCAACAGCGTCTCCACTTTCTGAGAATCCTCAGAAAAATGGACCTGAAGAAGGAGCTGCTGACCGTCTTCTACCGCTGCTCCATTGAAAGTGTGCTGACATATTGCATCGGTGTGTGGTTCTCCAGCTGCACCACAGCACACAGAAAGGCACTCCAGAGGGTCATCAATATGGCCCAAAAAATCATTGGACATTCTCTTCCCTCCCTGAAGGACCTGTACAGCACTCGCTGTCTCAAGAGGGCCCGCAGCATCCTACGGGACGGTACACACCCAGGACACCGGGTGTTTAAGCTGCTGCCGTCCGGCAGGAGGTTCAGGCTGCTGTGGTCCCGGACAAATAGACTCAAGGACAGCTTTTACAACAGGGCAATAGCCCTGATCAATGCAAATAGCTGACCTGACTGGCTACCTCCCTGGACTTTTTTAGGGGGGAGGTAACAATGTTTAAAACAACAATAACAATAATAATATATATATTTATAACAAGGTGCAATAATAATTAATGTGCAATAATAACAGTGTGCAATACAAATACACTTATTCTTCTTTTTTATTACTAAGTTATTATACTGTGTTGTGTTGTTTGTGTTGCGTTGTGATGTGTCATATCGTGTCGCGTTGTGTTATATGTAGTGCCGACGTAGGACAGTTTTCCAATTTCACTGTACTATTGTACTATGTATGACTGTGCAGTGACAATAAAGAGTTATCTTATCTTATCTTATCTTTCTGTCAGTGTCTGTTAATCTCTCCTGCATATTTCTTGCCAGTTCTGGATTTTGTTTATTCTCCCAGTGAATTTTTTGCTTCTCAGCTAAAGTAAAGGCTTGTTTGCCTGTCTTCATATGTCTGCATTTTAGTCCAAAACATTGCAATTTATGACAAAATATTGGCACTAAACATGGACCCAGAAGATCTCTGGGGAAATATGAGGATCTTTAGGATTTCCTCCCCAGTTTAAAAATCTATGGACAAGCCTCGCTCAGTGGGTTTGTCAGCTAGTAGGAATCATTTCCAGCTGGCCTGAAATGCTGCAGTCTCTAACAGTTTCAAGCATGTGTATCTCCATGACCCAGATGGAAAGTCAATTGTAGTCAATTAATCTCACCTGGCCTTATTCACCAGAGTTCAGTTCAGTCTCCTCCCTTACATACCCTCAACTGCTGCTCCAGACAGCCAGCTCCACTGCAGACACCAAGCTGCCACTCACCAGTCTCAGCCTCAGCTGTTTCCCATCCACACAAGAGCAACCAAATAGTGGAACATTTCTGCTGAATATCCCAGATGCACCACCTTTGGACAGTGTAGAGCAGGGGTCCCCAATCCCAGTCCACGAGGACCGGTGTCCCTGCAGGTTTTAGATCTCACCCTGGGTCAACACACCTGAATCACATGATTAGTTCATTACCAGGCCTCTGGAGAACTTCAAGACATGTTGAAGAGGTCATTTAGCCATTTAAATCAGCTGTGATGGATCAAGGACACACCTAAAACCTGCAGGGACACCGGCCCTCGTGGACTGGAATTGGGAACCCCTGCTGTAGAGTCTTTCATTGAAAACTGTTGTTTGGTTTCTGGATCAAGATTTACCGTTTATCACTAATTATGATGGCCAAAATCCATTTTTGTGAGGAAGTTGACACATACTGAGTTTAAGGTCATTGGTAAAATTGCAAAATGCATGTATGAGTGGTTTGAATTTGACTTTCATGGAGCGATCTAAAAATAGCAATGCTGGAAACAGTAAAAGAGAGACCAAAAAAGCCACTGCACAAGCAGATGCCCTTAAAGAAGTCGAAATATAATCAAGTAAGATTTTAATGACTGCGCATGTGCAAGGAGAGGTTTGGAATCTAGACGTGATTCCCTTCAGTCACACTCAGTGGCAAGTCAAGGGCAAATTATATGAGTAAGAACTGAGAATTTGTACCCCCACTGTAAACACACATATACACACACCAACATATGATGCAATAAACTGAAACAAGTACCACAGTGTAAAGGCACTTTATAACACTGCAGAGAGAAAAAGTTATAATATGAACATATAATGTAATAAATTCTAGAGTCAGGAGGGATATGAGAGCTGTAATAATAGTCTTAATGAAACAAACAGAACACAATAGCAGGAAAACCAGAGAGATTCTGATTTAGTCATTTCTGTTGACCTTCTGTGCATTGACCAGGTAGAATATGACTTAACTCTCCCTGACTTGTTATTGTCGCTCCTAGTGTGAAGACAAGATAAGTGTCTGCAATAGCAGCCACAGAGTCAAAATGCAGGACTGTGCCAAGATTGAGGACTCTGATAATCCAGCAATGGCTCCCACTTTTACTGTACTCACCAGTAGTGATGCCGTTATTGGAGCTTTTATGATCCACCAGATGAAGGCCACATCTGTGTCATCCCAGCACCTGAGACACACAACAGGCAGAAATGTGTGTTACCACTGGCTTACAAGGCTGTTTATAGTATCTTTGAACAATCAACAATATATATTAAGCTTAAAACCAATAGTAATAAGCTAATACATTTTTAGTACTGTGCAAATATCTTGAGCCACTCCACATTTCTTCATAGTTTGCTTCCAAGGAACCAGATTTTCTTATAATAATGTCATTTTTTTAAGGTGGTATTGACTGCAGTCCTGACCATCTTCAAAAGATTTTTGTTTGTTTGTTAAGCCACTTCCTACTAACATGAATCATACAGGTATAAAAATACACACAATTTATGGGAGGAACTAGTGTTGTATTTACATATAACAGACAACTTTGCAAAAATCAATGTTATATTACAAATGGAGAGACAGACACCCTATTTACTTTTTTACACTATCCGCAGTGTGTCTTTTGTCCTGTTTTAACCTCCTCAACCCAACCTATTGCTGCAGATGGCTCTCCCTCCCTGAGCCTGGTTTAGCAGAGATTCAATAATGTTAGGATGGAGTTTTTCCTTCCTACTGTGACAAAGTGTTTGCTTGTGTCATCTGATCGTTGGGTTTTCTCTGTATCGTTGTAGGGTTTTTACCTTGCAATATAAAGTACATTTAGTCAACTGGTGTTGTGACTTGGTGCTATATAAATAAAACTGAATTGAATTAGACCTTAGATAAGCTTCCCCTTTAGATAATTTGTTACTAGCCTGACACAGGATGTGAGAAAAGCATCAGCCCCTTCAGTTGAGCCATCTGCTGTTAACTGAAGATTCACCAGAAATGGTCTCAGTTGAATGTTGGCAGCCATTCTTAAGGAATAGAACCAGGAGAAAAGACTGAGGTATGCACAATGGCACAAGGACTGCACTGAAACTGGCAATATTAGTGTAGTGATGAATCATCATATTTCCATAAAGAGGAGGTCGGGGGAGTATCTACAGTCATTTGTAAAACATGGTGGACGCTCTATTATAGGTGACAGAGAATGGATCAAAAAGCAGTCCATTTCTGAAAAAGAAATTTGGAGTGTTCTCAAAGAAGCCCGGAAAACTAATCGTGAAGTCAAAAAAAATTACAAGAACACTTGCCAAAGAGGTTTCAATGCTGAAGAAGTCATAGCAAATATCCACTTTCAAGTTCATTGGAATTGTACAAACTTGTTAGCTTTTCCTTGTATACTGTGTTTTCACTTGTATTCAAACATGTTCCAATAACTTTCTCCAACTATTTCCTGTTTTCATTGCAAAAAATAAAGAAATGAGTCATCCTCGAGAGTTTTGTACAGCACTGTGGGTGTGAATTACTGTACAAATGAATATATTATCAAAAAGCCTTTTTTGCCACAAAGACTAGATCACAAAATATGTTATTTTTGTTAAAATTTTATGTTTAGTCTAAAGTTATTTGAGCGAGTATGTGTTATTATCATTTTTGTTATTTAAATTTTCTCTAATTTGATATTGTCTTGATTTCCTGCAGCCGTTGCTCACCCCCTGTTGTCGTAGAAGTTTCGAGTTAGAATCCAAGCTGTTATGATTACCGTCGGGAGACCTGGGAGGCACAAACAGAGTGACCTGATCATTAGGAAAAGAACTAAAGTGGAGCAAGAGGAAAAACAGGAAATCACATGAAAGGAAACAGGGACATATGATAGACAGGGATGATGACAAGTGAGGTACCCACCCCAGCCAATAAGTATGTACCACCAGAAGTATTTCTTCTGGAAGACAAATGTGAGAGTGAGCAGTGTCTGCAGGTACATGCCCTCCACCAGGAGCCAGAAGTAGTTAGCCAGAATACTGAACTGGAAGAAGGCCACGGCTGATTTACAGGATGTCTGTGGGACAAAAAAACAAAAAGATTCCTGAACATCAGATTCATCTGAAGGGCTCATTTATCTTCAGGGGCAGCAGCAATAAAAAACATCAATTTATGAGCCACAGTGATGTTCAGAATTATAAAAAACATAAGACTTTAGTGTTACAAGGAAACATCCATTTCCCTTCCCACATGCTTGAAGTCATGGGTTTTGCATTGTATTTATTTATACTCATTATAATTAATGATCAGTCTCATGCTCCTCTTACTAACACTATGCCTTTTAATATTTCTGGAATGGTTCAAATATAGTTTATTATAATGGTAATCAAAGAAGACGGTCACATTTCAACCTGCACCTCTTTAATAATCAGTAGGTGGCGGTTGCACAAAGAAGTCAAAATGTATAGAAGATAATGGCCTTTAGCTTGCTCAGTAAAGACTTTGCTGGTGGCTTTATGGTGTCAGTCACTAATTTTGAGTCCTACTAAATATAACATGTGCCATTAAAAGAGTGAGAGGACTCAAGTAGTAGACCGGTTTAACTTCCTTATTAACAAGCAGATGAATGAGCAACAGGGATTAGACCTCCTGATTGAGGAGGGGGAGCAATGCCAGAGTATTGTATAAATCTGCAGGTTGTTTACAAAGAAGAGGAGATAGCAATGGAGCTGCATTAGAGCTACCACTTGAATCAAAAAGAAGGATAAATCATCAACTGTCATTAATATATAAACAACAGGACTTTAGAAACAAGTGAGTGACATCATAGCGGGGACCCCCATCTGTAGCTGGGATTTGAGTTTCATTAACTAATCACAAAAGACTATTCACCTGAATCTGAATCCACCTGCAGCATCTACATTATGTATTGTCATGTTGCTCATTTTAAGATAGCATATCTGATTAAATTTGAATTTGAATGGTCACTAAAACACACTGCATGCATAAAATCTTTTGTCAAATCTAAAAGAACAGACTTAAAAAACATGCTGACTTTGACCTCGAAGTTCTACTTCTACCATCATTTTTGGTGTTGACGAATTCTCCCACATATTTTAATTCCTTCATCGTGTCACTCTCTTGTAAATTCTCTTTTGCTATTCCAAAATGGAAACTGGCTTTTAATGGCTAATTGAAGTTTACAAATTATATTACCAATAAATTGCCTTTGTCTTAAGAGACATTTAATTAACTTTATTTTATACTTGAGTCTTAAGATGAGGACTTTGGGATATTTATTTTGCTTGTAAATAATATTCAAGCCTGTTATTGTTTAACTAAACATTATTGGATTTAGATTCCCTTAACACCAGCAAAACTGGTACACTGTCTATATCTCAGAATAATTTTGATATTCTTGTCTTTTTCTGTTGCTGTGCGCTAAATGTCAGAACTCTGAAACAGCTGGCAGCCAAAATGGTGTTTGGGGAGCATGGCATCTGGGATGAAACACGCAATGCATCACAGAGTTGTTGGCTTTTGAGTGTTGCAGAAAATCACACCGATATGGAATTCCATAAAGGCTATGTGCTTATGTAATCCTTAAAATTTGTTAAATAATCCAGTTATGAAGCCTTATGAATTATTTCTTTCTTTTCACTTCCACTGAGTGGTGAAAGCCATAGAGGGTTCTTAAAACAATGTGCCTGAAATAAGGCGTTCTCGTTGGGTATAGTGAGCCTTGACCTTCTGGTCAGTTGACAGCTGGTGGAGCAAGTTAGCTGTTAGACCAGCAGGAAGGGACTTATCTGAAAACACTGGAGCACTTTTACGCCATGTCTTGATAAATCGAACAGATATTTGAAGTTTACACATCTACATTCTTGCCTATAAACATCTTAAAAGTTTAATTTGTGCAACAGAAACAGTAATATTTCAAACATTACTTGTAGTTTTCGCTACTCTGCCATTGTCACCTTTCCGGTGTTGGACAAAATGTATTCTGGGTTACTTGGGTGAGTCCACTTTCTACTTCACACTATGACAGCTAAAAAGCATGTTATATGCATAAAGCATATTAAATTAGACTTGTTAGCAATCTGTTGCCTAATTCCCTGTACATTTTTGAAGAGTAACCCTCAGTTAGATTGTTCCCACCAGAAGGAATGCTAACTATTCAAGGTGTTTTAGCTCTAGTTTTGCTCTCCATTGCCTGTTTCTGTAATTTTCTTCTATGTTCTTCACTAGTTTGCTGCTAACCTTTTGTACATGATATTTGATACATCTGGACAGTTCGTAATTAATACATAATGTATTACTGATTGATAGATTTCACTGTGAATCCTGTTCTAGAACCATCTTCTTATCCATATTTGCCCACTGTATTTTTCTTTAAAACATATTTTTGTTGATGTCATGAGTAGGCTTTTTTTTCCTTCATATTACCTACTCATTGTGCCTCAAAGCCTTTCTACGAGTCATGCTGATGTTCTGGTGCTGGTCCCTCATACCGACGCAAGAGGCACACTTACCAGCACTCCAGACAGCCTCATCAGGAGAAAAACACAAAGGGAAACACTCCTCATTTATGCTCTCACCGGCTCTTTGCTCAGCCATTCCCAGCATTTCAGTCTTTCTCCTTGCTGCTCTTATATTAAGTTATTAACCTCATCAGAGTCGATATCAAGAAAACCAAACACAGCTAACCAAACTCATTGCTACAGTTTAAAGAAACCTTGCAGCTGAAACATGGATATTTTATCTCCCTTTTTTCCTGCAACAGATTTACCTAGTAATTGTAAAAAGAATATGGCTGGTTAGAAACAATAATCTAACCTGTGCAGTTAGATTAAATTAAAAAACTATTAAACTGGATTATTAGCAGCATGCAAAGTAAGGAAATTTGCATTTGGTTTATTATTTCTTTATTGTTGCAACAGGTATAAATCTCATACAATTGGAAAGCCTGTTTATTTGGCTGACCTGTGACAAGTGCTGATTGAAGAATGCGATACCATCCCACTGCTTTAGTGTGTTCAGACTGTGGCCAGCATGAAGATGTGGTGCCAGGCTGATTCTGTGTATTGTTCTCTCACATGCTACTGAGACCCCTGTTTGTTTAATACATTGTTAAATTGCCAACATGTCTTGTTTCTTCTGAGAAGGTTTGACATGTAAAGTCTGAAGAAATAATTGACCAAGTTTAGTTACTTTTTCCAAGATTACTTGACAGGTTCTGATTATAGCTTTAAAACATGGATACTTCTTGTGTTGCACATTTTGGAAGTCATTGTAATTGTGGTGCTGCCAAAATAAAGGCCTATTTTGAAAGGATCACTGCCTTTCCCCCCAACTATATTCTTAAGTAGAAATTGGAGCACTTGTCCAAGAAACCCAGAATTTTTTGAATTTCATGAAAATATTTTTTTTTCTCAAGGCTAGTTTTTTTCTCAAGGCTAGTCCCTGGCTGCAGCAGTCTGTATGCCGATGTGTCTTGGATAAAACTGAACCCCAAATTACCCGTAGTGCATGCATGGGAGAATGAGTTTTTGAATGATATAAAGTGCTAACAGGCATACAGAAAAAAACACTGTATGAATGTGTGCTTGTGAATGGGTGAAAGTGCATGTGAATGTCTGGAATCAGTTAAGTTGTTAATCCAAAATGCTGCAGCAAGAGCACTGACAGGGACTAGAAAGAGAGAGCATATTTCTCCTGTTTTGGCTTCCCTTCATTGGCT